TCTGGCCCCAGATACATGGGTTTACAATTACCAGACAAGCAAGGGCTTCTCCCATTTAAAAAAAGCTATCCGTTGCCTCTTTCTGTATACAAAATGCAAAGTTTTAAGACAGGTTATCTATGAAATATGAAGTATTTTACCTTTTCTCTTTCGTGCTCTTCCTTTGATTTTTTCTTTTTTATGCTATCCTAAATAGAAAATGAAAATAATTTTCACACAATGATTTCAACAAACAGAAGTAAGCTGTTTGACCTGATGATATTTAATGTAAATGGAAACCTGCTTTGGCAAGTTAGGCAGCTGTGGCTGCCCCTGGTTATAGTACTCTGAGCATTGCTCTGTGAGGTATTTTACCTTGCATGTCAGTTTGAACAATATGAAAAAGCCATAATTTTTGTATAACTACTAATGCCCTTGCTCAGCAGTGTGCAAATAAGTCTTTGGGGAATCATGGAACAGAATGCTACTGGGGAAAATATGAAAAGACCTATGGAGAAGACTTCATACACCATCACCCACTGTTCAAAAGAACCTTATGCCTGCAACCACTGTAGAGTTCACATGCTTTGGGGAAGAAAAGAAACTATCATTTGTGAGCCCTAAGCAGAGAAGAGGTAAGGCACACTGACATCCCCTCTGTGGTGAAGTCTGTTCCCTATAGGGTAGCTTATGTTCTGCCTTCCCCTGTTGAGATGCTTTGCTGCTCCTCTCTGACTTGTCTCAAGACAAATAACATTTACTGGAAACATTGTAAAGACAAGTGCTGCATGGTATTTCTTAGAAACAGTGGAATTAGGACCTGCAGGATGAAGAAAAAGTCAACAGTGGAGAATGACAAATTGGGGGGATGAAATAGAAGAGGCTAGAGCTTTCTCCATCCACATTCACCTCAACAGATAAATAATAATATGTGTTTTCACCCCAAATCACCAGTAAAGGAGTCTCAAAAGCCACCCTCGCTTATGTGAAAATAAAATGTTCATAATTTAATTTGCACAAACTGATGCATGTTTGTAGGTCTGAATTATCACAATCTAAATAGCATGTGCACTAGATACTTCAAAAACAATGTTTTAAACCAAAGATATGATTATTACCTGCCGCAGCGAAGAGAGCTGAAGACGCAAAATAGAAGAGTGTCCTTAAAAGGAATTTTCCCTTTGTTTTCTACTTTCCTTAAAAAAGGAAGTCCATATAAAATGCTCCCCATACAATAATTTAAATTATGACTATAATTGTAAAAGGCTCAATTTGAGCTTCAGAGCAAGTATATTTCCCTACAGAAATCTCGAAAAGTTCTATTTCAAGGATTGAAAGGATTTCATTCCATCCAGGAAGAGCAGACACCAACTGCAGAAAATTTCTCAGCCTGATGAAGGGTTTTTAAACCCAAAAGCTTGCTTAAAATTTTTTCCCAACTGTTTAAGTTCATCTAATAAAAGATATCAGATTCACTCAAAGAACCTTGTCTGCCTATGTCCTTGGACCAACATGGCTACAACCTACACCCCTATTTCAAGGATTGACATGTTGGGATACCTTCATTTTTAAGAATGCTATGTATATGGAAATAATGAATTTGTAAGCATTAAATTTATACCAAAACAGTTTGTTTTAGCAGGCAATAAGAAATATACATCTATAATTTAAAAGACAGCAGTAACAGTTTGAATTATTGACAAATCTATCCTCTAAAGATCAAGTTATTCTTTCTGGCTAATGTACTGAACTTAAATGGTCAACTACATGATGGTTACAGTTCTATATGGCAGAAGAAAAGCTTGCTGCCATAAAGCAGCATTGCTTTAATGTACTTGTGCAAAATCAAAATCACAGATAATCAAATGTTTACAATCCAAATAGGATATACTTTAAAGAGACTTATATACTGTTGTATTTTACCTTGCTGTCCGATTCAGAATCAGAGGTAGAACCTTCAGAAGACTTCCGTGAGGAGCGATACTTCTTTTTTCTTCTTTTCTTCCCTGGCTTCTTATCCTATTCATAAATGTTTTAGAAAAAACACAAACTTGAGTATTCAGTTTAAAGAATATGGAAACTTAAAATGTCCACATATGAATATATTCTGCTGATATAAATAACATGGCAATACTTGACTTTTATGATGAATAACATTCCTAATCTTTTTTGTATTTATTCACCATTTGTATTAGTGATAAATCCAGGATTCTTTTCTAGCTTTCTTGTTTATGATTTTTCCCTTGGTTATATACCAGAGGACCTGACTCTTCATCAGTAAGAGTTCTAGATGAGCTTGCCAAAAACAACATTTTTCTAAGTAAAAACAGCACACACAGCTTTTACTTTTAATTTATGGGATCTCCATACTGAAAGAAACCTGGGAAAATATGCAATTTACAGGGAAATCAAAGCAAATCAAGATAAACAAGATAACTCAACACATCCAAAATGTTGTTCATACCCAATATTGTTGGGTAAGAAGCTATATTCAAGTATTAGCCAATACACAAAAGGGGCAAAACATTTCAAGCAGACTGTTTCAAAACCGTGCTTAAAATATGTGCCGTAATAAGCTATGTTAACCTCATTAACTAAAATACTGTTTTATTTAAAATATCTGTAGGTATTTAATGTGATTCATATTTATGAAATTTGTTTTGGTTTAGTGATGGTGATCATATGGTGATGCTGTGTCCAAATGTATACTTTTTGTTGCATGAGAAGGTTCTTTGCAGCATGAGACAGTCCTGTCCTCCTGAACAAACCTAACATAGTGCTTTGAGGGAAGTCACTGAAACATTTATATAGATCAGGGGTCAGGCCACCATGGGCCTATGTTTGAGACCTGGACCCTTGTTGTGGGTCACAAATCTTTGCCCCCACTGAGCACCCAAGCTATCTATGTTTACCCTTGCTGTAGATCCCTAAGCCCTCTGCAGTGAAGGTAAATGAAGGCAAGAAAGGGCAGCAGGGAGGGGGACATGGTACAGGTGGCATGGTGCAGCTCCGTTCTGCCCAATCACTAGGGACCTACTGAATTCATGGCAGAAGTGGAATGCATGGTGGCTCCTTTAATCTTACAGGTTCCCCCCACCCTCATCCAATCCTCTGATTGGTGGAGGGCTCTGCTTACGGCTCACTCCTGATCAGCAGGGAGGCAAAAACTGCTGTTTTAAATATGGTGCCGTTTTTGCTTCCCACCACTAACTGGCTGAGGGGTCCTACAACCCTGCTGTTTGCTGCTGACTGATGGGGAGGCAAAAACTGTGCCATGTTTAAAACCGTGGCTTTAGCTTCCCTGATGATCAGGAGGAAGTGGCGGGGTCCTCCACTAATTAGCAGCAAGGGAGGGGCAGGGCAAGGGATGAGGTGTGTGTGTGGGAATATGCAAGATTAAAGGAGCTGCTGCACACTATCTCCACTGTAAATTCAGTTGGTTCCTTCCAATCACACATGCTGCCCTGGGCCAAGCCAGACCTTTGTAGGCTCAATCCAACCTCTCTGGGGGCCCGATCTGTCCTGCAGGATGTAGTTTACCAAGTCCTAATGTAGATGATTTCAACTTGTACCCCAAAATATTTGTTATTATATTATTCTTTATAAATATCTTTATGTAGTTACATGATTGTGTTTATAAAAAAATAAAGGAAAAATGTTTATTTATTTCCTGTTGCAGGGGTGTAGGTTGTAGCTGTGTTGGTCTAAGGACACAGGCAGACAAGGTTCTTTGGGTGAATCTGATATCTTTTATTAGATCAACTTAAATAGTTGGAAAAAATTCATCCAGGAAGACCACACACCAACTGCAGAGATTTCCTCAGCCTGACGAAGGGCTTTTAAACCCGAAAGCTTGCAAAAAAATGTTTTTTCTAATTATTTAAGTTGGTCTAATAAAAGAGATCAGATTCACCCAAAGAAACTTGTCTGCCTATTTATTTCCTGTCATTTTCTCTTGTTCAAACAAAACCCATTTCTCTTTTTGGATACATTTCCCTAATCAAATCTGAAATGAAGGAGGATACTTGATGGGACACGAGCATAACTATCCAGTCGCATCATTTCATAAAAGATACACAAAACATTTTGCAGTTCTGGTAGTTTAGTTCTTACCTCATCATCAGAATCAGATGCACTGCTAGAAGAATCAGAACTTGATGAAGAAGAGGAAGATGGAGACAACTTGACCAAACACAACAAAAAGTAAAACTTGTGAGATGCAACATTTTGTCTGTTTGGCAAATACTTAAAGGGCCACACAAATACTCCCCCCAGTGTCTCAACATATGTATTTTCCATAGTGTTTTCAGTTTCAAGAGACCAGCCTGAGGAGAGCTGCTCAAATAAAGCTGTATGAAGTGTGGATTTAAGATTTCCTCAAATAAAACAATCCCATAAATGGCGCACACTGGCCAAATTCTCTATTTTTAAACTTTAAACAGAAAATTAAAATTATGTTTTTTCCATCATATATAAACCAAATTACCACTGACAGATAAACAAGCTAAATACAGGCACTCCTCACTTAACGACCGAGTTCCGTTCCTGCGACTAGGTCGTTAAGCGAATTGGTCGATAAACGAGGAGCTGCCCCTTGATACTGCGTGCCTTGGCTTGAGATGCCGCGCTGCCGTTTCCACGACCAAAGTTCTCGTACTTACGACCAGTTCTCGCTGGTCGTAAGTCAGCACGGTCGTTAAGCAGGTAGGTCGTTAAGTGAGGAGTACCTGTATGTAAAAATCAGGTTTTTAAACATCTAGGCATAATTTAAACTCTTGTTGCATCTTTCCTGGAACCCAAAGCAAAAAAGTTGAAAAGAAAAACACCCTGAAAACTTTGCTCACCCTATTCGATTTCTTCTTTTCCTTTTTCTTCTTCTAAAAGAAGAGATAAATTCTGTTATCTTGTATCATCTTTTGACATGTATCACAGATAAAGAACACCTGATCTTAGCCAAAAGGCCTAGAAGTGAGTTTGCATTTTTGTTTGCATCTAAGTTTGCATTTTGAGCTGCATTCTTTGATGATGGTTATTTTAATGTATTTATTACCAGCAAATAATGTCCCATCAGAAAAATCCACCTCCCAACACGAATGGTGTAGTAAATTGAAAATATTTACCTCCTTCTTTCTGGAGGAACTCTCATTTCCACCTAGTAATTTCTCCCTGTGTTTTTCCAGTTCTTTCTTCCAATTCTGAAAAGCAGAGACAGAAACCATTACCATTTCAAACACTTATTGTTATTAAGATTCTCTGAACCCCTCTACCCAGGACTGAAAATCATATAAGTGTTATTTCTGCAGGTTTTGTGAAAAGTATCTAAACCTAACAAAATGAGTACTTTGTTGCATTTCGTAGATGTAGATAAATTTACTAATTTGCTTCCTGATGCTCCAATTATTTGGGCTTTTAAACACCTTAACTATTTTAACTAGGATACAGAATGTACAACTAAATTTTCATATTTCCATCATAAGCAAACAAATTAAGAACCCACTTCTTATCTGGATAGTCACAATTGTTAATCTGAAGCTTCTGACGAAAGAGTTGTGCACTTTCTTGTTTCTATAGGTTACGCACATTGTACACATCCAGGGATTTCTGCACTCCTCATTTCTAACCCCATCACCAGCTCCCCAAGTGCTGCTTCCCACCCCCCTTCTACACTTCACTGACTCCTTGCAATATCCCTACCCCCTCCATCATGCCAAAGGTTCTGTGCACCTCATTTGTTTTTCCACCCACACCTCTGTCCCCTGCCCCCAATGAATTAGCTCTATATACCCCGTTTCCTTTACTTCCACCACACTCCTTTTCTCTCTTTCCATTTTTAAACCAGTAAGTAATGGCAAATCAAAGGAAGCAACTCAAAGCCCTGCCAAACTTTTCAACCAATAAAAACCTCACTGAACTAAGAAAGCAAAGCTGAAGGAAAGGGTCAGCAAGAGAATAGCAAGTCAGATTCACTAAGATGAAAAACCTAAGGTATAGATCAACTGTGAAACTACAGACAGGGAAAAGAGGATCAGCAGACCTACAGGTGTCATGGTAAGGGAGGGAGAGCATAAGCTGCTTCAACTTGAGTTTCTCAAACCAATGCAACCTGCAGCATCAAGCATCTCATTCCCAAAATATAGGAACCTATCAATAGAAGAGAAACAATGTGGTGGCTCATCAGCTCTTCCCTATATGCAGTGTAGGTAGCATGAACCCAGACCAAACTGATCTCCAGTTGTAGCTGATCACTAAGATCTCCGAGCAGATCTCAGAAAGCTTTTTTTTTTTTTATACTACGGATCAGAATGGCAGATAGCCAGCTCACGATCAGAGGAGAACAAAGGTAGTTTACACTTCATATTTTATATACTCTTAAGCAACATCAATACTATATAAATATTCTATCCATAAACTAGGTCCTTGTATTTTTTTTAAATATTTGGATATTATGTATCCCAACAAAAAGGATTGCTTTGGTGTATTTTACCGGATAAACCAGGGGTGAGCAACTATATCAGGCAGAGGGCCACTTACTCAGTTTTGGCAGGCTGTCAAGGGCTGCATGGGTAGCCCTGCCCCTTGACAGGTGCCCCGCCCCCTGGTCACCATCTTGGGACCAATGTTCCAGGGCCAGGACCAGTGGGGCCTAGAGTGGGGTGCAGGCTGGCAGGGGTCTGTGGAGCCAGGCTGGGCTGCACCAGCAGGGAGAGGGGGGAGCTGGCCCAGCTCCATAGAGCCCCTGCTGGCTGGGACTCCATGCTCCTGCCACCCTGCTCTGGGCCCCACTGGCACTGGCTCTGGGACAGCGGTGCAGGCCCCATGCTCCTGCGCCCACTCACACCCAGTGCCCCCCAGCCCTGCAATACAGGTGGGGGACAGCGCATAGCCCCGAGCCCATAGCTCGCCGGCAGGGAAGAAGCTGGTGCCGAGTACAGGGAAAAGCGGCCCCTCGCCCGCCCCATAGTTAGCGCTCCCTCCTGCAGGAGCTCGCAGCTCACACAGGGCTGTCTGGAGCAGGCACAAGCAGCCCCACGCGGGCTGCAAGTGGCTACAGCACAGGGCACCGGCCACGGGGTGAGC